TTCATTGTTTCCATAGCTCTTTAGAGAAGAAAAGATAGAAGATCTGGCCTTCTGTCTTTCTGTAGCATAGTTACAAGTGCTTTTTGTTTTGTTTTGTTTACGTGGTTTTTTAACGTGGATTCCTGGTTTGGCCAAATGTTAACTGGAAACAATTTCAAACTTCTGTAACTGAGACTTGTTGAGCCTGAGGTTGGTATTTCTTCACAAATATTGATGGCTCTTTCTTTTCTTAAAATAATAGAAGCTTTAAAAAAAGAAAGAAAGAATTGTGTAAAGAGAAAAGTGTATTTTCTTTGGCCTCACTAAAATACCACTTGGCTCCAACCGGCCCTATTTCCTGCCTCTGACCATGCCCCAGAGCAGTGAAAGGGTAGACGTTCTTAAAATGAGATTTGCCTTTGTGTATTTGCATTCCTTTCAGTTTTTGACTATCTTGTTAGTCTTAGTTGGTCCAGCACTGTGAAGCTCAAGTGAATTTCCTTAATGAATCTTAACAGTAGGGGATCTGTGTTGTTCAAAATGAGCTTTGCTAGTGGCTCATCTGAAAAAGACTTATTTTTCGATACAATTGCTTTTTTTTGCGTAGTCCACATTCTCAGCATGCTGTTTATCGAGACAGTATTTATTAATACATGTTAGATACTTTCATAAATAAAGGCAGGCTATTCAAGAATGATAGCATAAAAAGGGACCCAAATTTTTTAAAAAGTACTAGGTCAACTTCATTTCTGGCTTGAACTAGTTAGGCTGTCCTGTGGGAAAGTGATCCACTTTTCTGACATAATTGGTTTGTGTGCCACAAATAGAAATGGCAAGCCTAAAATTTGCACGGTAATTTTTCTATGCTTTCCTTTTCTATGCTTTCCTTTTCCATGCTTTGATAACTCACCTCTGAACCTAGCAGTCCCCTTTACGTGGACAAAGCAGAACACCAAGGAGACTGTCCACACTCACCCAGCGCGCGGAGCAGAGCCCAACACAGGCTGAGGAGCCGCATGCCCAGGCTGCGTTCTGTTAGTGCTCTAGCTGGGTGGTTTTGAACGAGGTCTTAACTGAGCTCTTCCTCCCCAAGCGCCTGGCAGACTTAAAAAGCATGTGTAAAGGATCTACACATTCCACTGGACTCTGAAACTGAGCCCCTTGTGGAATCCCAGTAGCACCCCCATTCGCCACCCACAGCCAAGCCTGCAGCAGGTTCTCAGTGCGAACTGTGCAGCGTGTGTCCAGCTTGCTATCTGGCATCGGGAGCAGCCTTTTCTGTGTTGAAGCAGTGGTGAGGCTCAGCGCTGTGTGTGGCTGTTATTGTCAGCCTAACTCAATAAATCCTTAAATGCTTTTCTAAAATCAAGTACTATGTGAGGTGTGAGGGAGTGGGAAGAACATAAAAAGAAAGAGATAGGAGACACAAAGCAGAAGGGAAAAAGAGAGAAGATATCTGAAAAGGAGAGAGACAGGAAAGAGGGACTCCTCACTGGGCTTTGGAGTCAGACAGAAGGAGGGGTTCAAAACCCAGATTTATAGGTTCCCCACTATGCATTTCACTTAAATTGGGAACGGTTACCCAGCTGTGTTAAAGGTGACTAATAAAGAGATCTTTATTTATCAAATAATGAAAATCCTTATTTATAATGGTGGTAGCTGGCTTATATGTTCTGTGCTTTTAGTTTTAGAAAGACTGTGTTTCCTTTGCATTGCTGAGGCTTCAGGGTCTCAATTAGGATTTGGTTTGGCTGCGTTGTGACAGAGACCCATATAAAGTTTAGTATACAAGATTTTCTTCTCTCACATAAAGAAGTTCAAAGGTCAGCAGTCTAGAGCCTTTAAGGTGGTTCCTCAGATTGTGAGAGCCCAGACTCCTTCCAGCTTTTTGCTCAGCCATCCTTCATCTTCATGGTTCAGTATGGCTGCTGGAGCTCCAGTAATTACATCCCTGTTTCAGGGAGCAGAATGAATGAAAGACAAAAGGAGGGCTGACCTTATTAAAATCTCCTTGTAAAGAAGTTTTCGAGAAGTACCATGTGACACTCTGTTTACATCTCAGTGGCCAGAACTTATTCTGGGCCACACATACTTTCTAGGAGCCTGGGAAGTGTAGTTTCACTGGTTCTCCATTTTTTGAGCCTTGTGTATGGACTCTAGCAAGAAACACTGTGATGCTTAGAAAAATGTCTTAGAAGTTAAAACTGTTATTATTAGGAATAATATTAGTAACTCATATTTAAGGGGTCACAGGCACTATGTGCAGAAGTTTATATGAACCATCTCATTTAACCTTCCTTTGATGTAGGTGTTATTATCCTCATTTGACAGAAAAGAAATTGTGGTTTAAACAAGTTGAGTGGTTTGCCCAAGGTTACATCACTAGTAAGCAGTGGAGCTTAGAGCTCAGAACCAGACTTGTCTTTTACTAGATTCCAGGCCTTTAATCACTGCTTTGCCTCCCACTTCGCAAGTTTTAACTTTGTAGCTTATTCAGATCTACAATGGGATGTTTTAAAACCTTCTCTCCTGTTTGTGGTTTTGTAGTCGTTAGCTCTCTACCCTTTTTACCAAACACACCACACACACACACACAGACACACACATACCCCTCTCCTTTATTTTTTTCAAATCTTTAAGTATTTTTATGCTTATGGAAAAGAACTTGACTTTTAACACTTTAATTCATTGTGAGTTGATCAGGAATCTGGATGTTAGAGTTTTTGGCCATTTCTTATGTATGGCCATTTCTTTCTCCCAGATGCAGCCCTAAAAGCTATTGGGGATAACAGGGTAAGAAAGAGTCCCTAGCCTCAAGGCATTTACAGTATAATTCTTTAGAGAATGGATTTTAGACAAGCCTCTTAACATCAAATTATACTATGACACTACATGTCAATCACAACTGACCTAGATGTGCACACCCATTTGTCCTTATAATTACGTGAGCATCACTGTGACCTCTAAATGACTACCCATCCCTTCAACACATTCCTAAGAAATTAGGTTGAGTAAATAGGCAATTCTGTATTAGTACTCTTTGTATTTTTAAGCAACATGGCTTATTATTATTATTTTAGTAATAAGAGCTTAATTTACATAAAGAAGATATGGGGTGGATTATAATACCTGTTATTTTGAAATGTCCATTTGTAAAAACAATTGAATTCCTATTTTATGACATTTTGAATAATGGCAGAAATAATGTTCAAGTGTATTATTAGAAGCCCAAATCAAAGGGGGATCTGTGTGACATTTGGGACCAGAGCCTGCCAATAGCAGCCTTTGTAGGGTTTATCACTGGTATGCTTTTTTGACAAGATCAGAGAAGAAAGATGTTCCACCTGACAGGTTAGGAAAAAGGGAGCAAACCCAGAGATGTGAGGCTGATGACACCATCTCCCTGCGAGACTTCCATAAATCCAGTCTTTGTACCTGGAAATCGGATATTGAGAGAAGGGGCTGGCAAGGATTCTCATTCTATCCATTTCTCTGCTTTGTTTTCTAGTGCATCTACTGCTTAAAGTTATTTCTTTACAAAGAAGTCATTTTTTTTTCTGTTTGGGGGCTACCTACAAATTATTCTCCCCGTTTCCTGATATGTGTACACAGAAACATTCTGTTTCATAATGGGAAGGTGATTTTTTTATAGGCATAGATATGCTGTCTTCCCCTGAGATTTGCCTAGAGGTATTCGCTGCTAGTCTTTAAGGTACTTTGTTAACAGCTCCATCAGTTCTTTTTTTCTTAGGTTACTCTGCACACTGTATCATGTGCCCTGACACTTGATTTATAGGTAAGAGTCTGCTGGCTCTCCCAATAGTCCCTTTCATCTTTGATGACCTAATTAACTTTATCTGATCAGGGAAAATTGACATTTCCCTATTGTCCTTCAGATAATGGGCTTCATTATTACTGTGAGTGAATTTTACTTTGAAAACTTACACCATTGTAAGTTGGCTCCTAATGATAATGATAAATAGCACTTGTGTAGAGCTTTAGAATTAAACAAACCAAAAGAATAAAGAAGGCCTTTCTACACGGTGTGCAATCCTTACTGCAGTGCTGAGGGAGATGGTGCAACTCATTCACCATTTCCCGTCCCCAGGGATTCTGCGGTAAACCAGGAACTGGGTTTCCTCCCTCCTCTCACATCATGGGGGAGAAACGTTGATTATGAATGAGGGAGACATGTTGTTAGAAGAAATCTGTAGCTCGCAGAACTTAAGTGGCTTGCCCAAAGTTGTTGTACATGATAGAATTTGTGTGGATGTGTGATCGATGACTAAACTGGAAAGGTAAGTAGGAAGGAGATTTTGAAGTCTTGGAAAATGGATCAGAGTTGGAATGTTTTTTCTATAGACAGTGGGTAGCCAGGAGAGGCTGAGGATTGGAGCAGTGATAAAATCAAAGCCTTAGAAAGACTATTCTGATAGTGAGGTGCTGGGTCAATGAATATGGTTGTAGACATGTGGAACAACCGAGGAAGTGCTAATACTTATATGCGTAAGAGAAAGCCCTGAAACAATGGATGGTACTCAGGCTGGGATGGGACAAATAGAGGAGACACTGCTGTGGGAAAATGGAGCGGACTTGGGGGCTGACTGCATAGGAGAAGGAAAAGAGAAGGAGAAGCCAATGATGTTTGAAGCTTCAGGTGATAAGAAGAACTAAGTAATAACTGTGGACAGCAGTAGGAGCTCAGAGAGCGTCAGTTAGAGAAGCCCAAATGGCTTCTTTCTAAGATCCTATCTTTGATGACTCTTAGAGTATTTCCTAAAACCAGGAATAATGTTCCTTCCTGCTCTCTTCATTTTGGATCCAGTTTAAGAATGGCTTTCCCTATTTTGGTTTGTCTTGAGGGAGTAAGGAAGAATTCCCCCAAAGACTTAAAGTTGTGAGAAATTGGAGCTAAGATCACTACTCGGAAGTGGGTCTCTTTCCGAATGCGTGAAACGATAGGTCAGCTAAGACCAGTGTGTGGCGTGTGCTGACTACTGATTGAGTGGACTGTTTCCTAGGCATTTTTTGTCGACCACAACTCCCGTACCACCACGTTCATCGATCCGCGGCTCCCGCTTCAGAGCAGTCGACCCACCAGCGCGCTGGTTCATCGGCAGCACCTCACGCGGCAGCGCAGCCACAGCGCGGGCGAGGTGAGTCCTGGGGGCGCCCCGGGGACCGACCGACCTGCTGCTGCAGAGACGCTGCGGGCATGGGGGGCTTGGTGGAATTGTGCTGGCTTTTATTATTAAAGGTTTTATTTTTCTAGTTTGATTTAGAGGTTATCATTTGGAGGCTGAAAAGTGTTGGAATGTTGACAGGGCTTCTCTGGAAATAGCTAGAGCCTAAATTACAAATTTAAAAAGTAGAAGATAAGAAGAAAGATTGAAGAAATTAGAGACTTTTTTTTTTTAGTTCAAAGGGTGATGAGAGAAAATTCATAATGTAACAAGATGGTCAAGAGAGGAGGATGACCCATTTTGCACACGTAAGGGCAGCTGGATTCATGGGAAGAAAGGAATGTAATTTTTAGTGTGCTAAAATTTGGTTAAATATAGGGAAGTTCCTCAAGTGAGGGTTGCTGGATTAGATTTAAATCATTGACCAAAGCTATGGGGTTGTGGTATCCTCACTAATATTTTTTAAAATTCGGATATATCTGAGAGTTGATTTATGTACTCTATGTACCCAGAGAAAATGGGCGGAATTAATTGCTAAGCGCTCTGCTGGGCTCGCCTTTCCTAGTTCGCAGTGTCCCATGGTGACCACAAGAGGGCACCCTAACAGCCTAACCAAAGGAAAAAAAAAGAAGAAAGAATCTCTTCCTGTTTCCCTTTTTCTTTAGCAGCTTAAACAAAAACAACTAATATTTTAGGTCAAAATTTTTCTCCTTAATACAGGCTTATGCTTTGAATGTATATCATTGCTTGGTACACATTGTTTCTAAAAATTCCCTTAGATAAACAGAATTAAGATTCTTTTCCTGCATGCCTTTTCTACATCTACGTGCATATTGTATTTTCAGTATTACATTGTAGGTCAAATATTTTTGTAGCCTCTATTATAAGAAAAACTTACGACTGCAGTAAATAACTGGATTTGATTCATCAGAATTCCACTCTTGGAATGTCCCCTCATGATTTACGTACTTACTCTAATGCCTCGTGTGTGTTTGCTGGTTGTAAGTGCAGCCATAGAAGAGTATACAAGAGAAGCTCATATAAAAATGATATATAAATCTATTCCCTTATGAGGTATGCACAAAAATATTTGTTTTATGAGTAGCTAATAAATCTTTACCTTGCTGTCGTATAAACCATTAATGGTGAACTGGATGTTGCTAACAGCATTCATCTTAGAAGCAGAACAGACCTCTCACCTTTGGACCGTGTGCGTGATGTGTAGCATGAATAGGGCCCTGCCTGACTTTATCACACGACCAGTGCCCTTTAGCCATTTGCCTTATCTTGACTTCACAATATGAAGCTGCTGTTCAGTCTGGTCAGGACTACCTGTGAGATTAATAGCTATCCTTATATTTTCTTTCAACCCCTTTGTCTCAGAACTTGAATTCTTTTCATGGTCTCTTAGTCATCTGTTGTGGGAGAGGGATCCTAAGGTACACATTAAAATTTGGATGAAGATTTCTCTTCCTATTGATGGAAACTGAGCAGTGGAACAGAGATAACCCCATGAAGACTCAGCGTTCATCCCCAGCGTTGATGGACCTTTGAGGAGAATGTGCTTTCTGGCCCAGCTGTTGGAAGCACGCACATCCTGCAGCACTACGCACATTTATCAGGGCTTGCCCACTGTCTGACAGTCTGGTTTGAAGAACTGAGGTGTCAAGGAGAAGACTGTCGGCTGTTCTGGGAAATGATGACACATGACGTATACTGACAGCGGGGAAATTTATGTTGGTGTATTGAAATGACGAGTTCTGGGTCTGACAAACAAGGGGTGGTTAATGACTGAATCTCCCCCAAGAGTGGCTGACTTCATTCCTCCGAGCTGATAACTCAAGAAAAGCACTGTGAGAAGCTTCTTGTTACATCTGCGAGTCTTTCCAGCCACTCTCTTATACTTACTTAGCAAACATTCCAGGTAGTAGAAATTTGGGATGGAAGATCCAACAAATTAATGTTTACCAAACACCTGCAGTGTAGAAATATGGTGGTTGGTGTGAGAGATACAAATGAATAGGATATATTCCTGTCTTCTTATTAAGGAGGGAATACATGAAACTACCCATAATCCAAATGAATAAAAATATGAGTGAAAATGCTTTCTAAACTGGTACTAATGGCAGCTGCTTTAGCAATGTACACCACATGCCGTGGGAGCGCAGGGAAGGGTGCATCTAACGCCTGCTCATAGGGAAGGGAAGGCTTCCTCCAGGACGGGCTGTTGGAACTATGCTTTGAAGGATGAGTGAGAGCATTCTTGAAGGATAAGCAAGCCGTGGAGGGTGGGGACGATATTTCTCATTTTAGGGCCTTTAGAAAAACCCTCACCAAACGCCTGACTGATGGAATGTGATAAAATGGTCGTGAAGATTTGAATGGGTGGGAGTAGATGCTCTATTTTAAAAGCACCAATTTCTAACTCCACTCTGTTATTCTGGCTTTTGTTCTCTTTCTCTCTTACACTGCTGTTCTGCTGTTGTCTTAAAAGGCTTCTGTCATGGGGGGAGAAATGCTAAAACAGAAGCTAAAGCAATGTTAGAGTTTTCTGGTAAGAATATTAATGGGCATTTTTGTTTATCTACTTGGACGTATGAGTTCCTAAATCTATGCTAGGACAATAAATAATTCAGGTTAGGGCAACCCTATTTAGCTGCTCCACACCTGCTACGATTAGCTCCCTGGTGTGGGAGGTTCAAACCAGAAAGAGCTGTTGTACTGGGTGCTCTAATGGGCATGTAAAATTGCTCCTAAGGAGATAATACACCAACTCAGAAAGCCACACGAAGACTGCTGCTCTTCTTCCCTCCCTGCCGAGGCAGGGAATTCCCTGACCTGCCTTGGCCCAAAGCAGGTATATCCTGGCAGTGCCCCAAGGTGTTTTGGACCACCCAGGTCTTCTCTCTGATCCTCATGTTGCCGGCTGTGTTCTGTGGAGGCAGAAGTCCCTCCTGATGAGCAGGTCTGCAGTTCAGCTTCTATAGCCCCAATAATTGTAAGCCTAGGGAAGCACTCCTGTACCCCTTGGTAAATAGTCACTTCCCTGGCCCCTCTCAAGGATGTGGAAATGGATGCCCCAACCCCTCCCGTCAGTTCGGCAGCTAACGCAGGGCTTCTGAGAATCCTGTGTCAACTCCTCAATTGGCTTCTGTGCTGATCACTTGGTACTTTAACAATGCTCATTGTCAGTTATTTTGAACAACTCAGCTCGAGGTGCTGATATAAAGCACTCTAGGTCTTGGGGCAGAACATAAATGATGCTTTTGTTTGCAGGTAGGAGAAGATTCTCGACATGCAGGACCACCAGTTCTTCCCAGGCCGTCAAGTACGTTTAATACAGTCAGTCGGCCGCAGTACCAGGACATGGTTCCAGTGGGTATGTCATCCCTTTTCAGAAATCTTTATCTTTGCTTTTCACATCAGTATGCAAGATGCACTCTGTGCTGAGACTTTCCTATTGTCAGCCTGCCTCTTTGCCCTGTACTGAGAAACGATTGCCTTATCCCTAAGAAATTGATTTGAGTCTCAAAACACTTATGTCTTGTAAAATCCTATAGGGTGAGATGTTTTTACACTACCCTAACTTTTTCTGAGTAGAGCTATTATATTAGATTGTTGAAGTTAAGGAAAAGTAAGTTATTAAGGCGACTGTATTATGTGGTCATTTCAAATTAAGCATTAGGACAAGCATATACTTAGTATATATCTAATGCTTGGGACAGAATTTAAATGGTGTGTGAGCCTGTAGTAGCCTCACAAACAAGAAAGCAATGATGGCACATTCTTCAGGGTTTTTGTAGCAACTACAAGGCAGCAAGAGCCTCCAAAATTGTAAAATAAAAATAAACGAATTTGGGCAAATAAGCCTAAAGATCAACTTGAGTTGTTATTAACATGATGAGGTTGAGTAGGTCAGTTTTCAAACCTGGAACCGTACGGCAGGTGGAGCGGACAGACTGGCGGCCATATGGGCTTCCTGTTCCATCTTAAATTGGAGCAGCTCTCCATTTGTCTGTTTTTACTTTAAAATTTTGACTTTTTTAGGAAAAACTTTACCATGAAATGTAATGTAATACCCTTGACCTAAAGAAGTTTGACAGCCACTAGGTAAGAAGAAATCTTGGATCCAAGTCTAACGTCTACATCTTATTATGCCCCTAACAATAGGATGCTAAATACTGCACGTAGAAGTTTAAAGCACTATAAAAGTGTGCTCAACAAGTCATCTAGTCTCTCGTTATGGGTGGAATGTAAAAACCCATTGACAACACTTCAATTATGAAAGTGTTTTCATTATTTATATATGGTGAAATGTACACTTAGCGACACTTTGAATTTGACAATGGGATTCCATGTTAGCAGATTGTATTTTCTTTTTAATTTTTTCAAATTGAACTGAAATGTATACGTACAGGCAGCACGATGCAACTACAACTTGAACCGGCAAATGTCTAGAGAATTATACTTCTTTTGATTGATCATTTGTTAGTTGAAGAAGGCACGTTTCTTGATCATATTTATAAACACAAGAGTGTTGACTGAACTAGAACCGCTAATGTTTGAGAATTCAGACACTCAGTTCTGTGATTTAAATATATCTTTATTTCTGATTATAAATAGCTATAATCAAGATGAATCATCTTAAGTAAACAAATTAGTTTTCTTGGCAAAAGAGGTATTAACAGGGCCTATACTAAATTTTAATTAGCTTTTTAAAGTTCTGTGAACGAACATCAGCCAGCCCTGATTAAGATTTAAATTTTTCTTTTAACGTATTATGTTTCTTTTAATGTATTATGTTGATGACACTGATTGTGTTGTAGCTGTTGGTATAGTTGGTTTGGTAAAGAGCTATGTGTGGCTCATGGCATTTATTTCCACATAGAATTTGGGAATGGTTTGTCCCCTGCATTTTGTTGGTAGCTGTTTCTGACAGCTATTGCATTTTGGCAACTTGTTCTGCCTCTTTACCTCTCTACTCCTCTAGATGGCTGATATTTAATCAGAAGATGGTTTTTCACTTCTAACAGTTGCTTATGAGGTTGATTTTGGTAACCAGTAGCTCACAACGATCAGCGTCTAGAATCTTGCTGGTGATCTCATCTTGCACTGTGATAGTAAATATGGCTCATCGAGTGAGTTTAAGGAGTGCTTCAGTGACTCACACCCAATAGATGGAAGTCCAGTCCTCATATGACAGAGTTGACACAAATTGGAATTTAAGCATCTGTAGTGACTACAAGCTAGGACTTTGAGTATAAAGAATATTAACCAGAAAAACATATTTTTAAAAGTTTGGATTTATGTGCATAAAACTAATAAGAGATTTTTTTCAATATTGTTATATTTTCTGATTTTTTTCAGCTTACAATGACAAGATTGTTGCATTTCTGCGCCAACCCAACATCTTTGAAATTCTGCAGGAGCGTCAACCTGACCTTACCAGGAATCACTCACTCAGGTAACCGTAATATTGGTATTTGGCTCAAGTCGTGTAAACCCAACTGTTACATCTTCAGTAACATTAATAATCATCTTGGAAATTCACTCTTTTCTTTCTGACTTTCTGAAAAGCCGTCTCGTGCACCAATACTTTACGTCATCAACACTGTATCATTGTAGTCCTGGCTTTTCTCTGTTAAGTTCAAGGGTTGAATAAGATTGACTGAAGAACCTAGAACCCTCCTTAAAGAAGAAAAAGAATGAAAGAGAAAAAAAATTCACAGCCAACAACGCATCCTAGATGTGCAGATTATAATGAAAATAATAAGACGCTAATATTTTTGAGAGTAGCTTGAGTAAACAAAAGTAACACAGAGTTTATTGAATTGAGATTTATAAAATCCTAGACTTGGTATTCACATTTTTCCACAATAAAAATGCAGTGGAACCCAAGGAAGGAATCTGATCCTCTCCACAATTCAGCATTCCCCTGCACGAACCCTCTCTTCTAAACAACACTTTGAAGCATCACGCTTCAAGCCCGATTTTACTTTCCTGAATACATGCTGTTCCTTTTCCCTGGCAAGTTTTTCTCTTCTTCTGCGTTTGGCAAGAAAGATATTTCCTATTAAACTCAATGCAAGCTGCCCCTTTTTGAAGTCTTTCAGCTCCACTGTGCTTTCATGATCTAGTCTGTATTTCTCAACTTCAGTGTTCTAGGCATCAGTGGAGATGGAAAAAAGTGCAAGTTTCTGCTGAAAATCTGACATAACTTAAAGCCCGTTTGGTTTACACGTTACCTTTGCTGGTAGAAATACTTTTGCCGCATGGTGCCATCCTGGCCCACAGCAGTGATTCTCAAATACTACTCAGTTGGACCAAACAGTTTTCATGAGGATCACCTGGGGAGCTTCATAAAGGACAAAATGCCAGGTCTCATCTCCCTTCCCTGAGTTCACACCTCCTATCCTCCCATGTCCTGCCCAGAAGTTTAATTCAGCAGGTCTAGGGTTAGAGCTCAAACATGTCCTTTCTTAAAGCCTCTCTATGTAATTCCGGTGGCACAGCCAGGTGTAATAACCTCTGGTCTAGACACTAATTTGATAATTAATTGTGTAAAGTTATCAAGCTGTCCTTCATACTATTTTGGTTATGTGACTTTTGTGCTTTGATTTGACTTTTCAAGTCCTTATGCTGTATTTCCCAATTAGATTATAATCTCCTTACAAATAGGGATCTTATCCAACTCATCATTATTTTTCCTCCTTACTCCTCAAATCTATAGAATAGCACTTTATATAGTGAATATAAATATATATATATTTGTTGATTTGATAATAAATTATCAAATATTCTTATGGTGCTCTCAGTCTCTTGTATCCTTTTTTTATTGAGATATAATTGACATACAACATTGTATTGGTTTCAGGTGTACAACATAATGATTCAATATTTGTATTGTATTGTATTTTATTTGTATTGATCATTGATATGATCACCACAATGTCTAATTAACATCCGTCACCATACCTAGGTATAGATTTTTTTTCTTGTGATGAGAGCTTTTAAATTCTACTCTCTTAGCAACTTTCAAATATGCAGTACAGTATTATTAACTATAGTCGCCATGCTGTACATTACATCCCATGACTTATTTATTTTATAACTGGAAATTTGTACCTTTGGACTCTTTTCACCCATTTTGTCTACCTCCCACCCTCATCCATTTCTCATATCTTTAAAGTTGCCGTTAACCTTCTAAAGTTTCTAAGCCTTAAAGCTACATATAATTTCAAGTATGACACTACAAACGTTGCTCATACAGAAATCCCAGTTTTGAATTAGTTAACATGTAACTCAGGTCTCAGTGTTGCCAACTTGACAAGCATGCTGTTCTCAATTACAGAGAATTATAAAAATTATACAAGCTATCATTTTGTATATTTTATATTATGGCATCCACTCAGTAATCCATGGTCCACTAGAGAATCTTGTATAAGAAGTATTTGTTCATAAAATTGCAGAAATGAGCTCCTTAGTTGTCTAATGAGAGATCTTAGAGATTCTGGGTCTCAAAGCAAGACAAACAAACAAAATCCCTCCTCTTTTGCGAATCATGAAATAAGGAGAACCCTATTTTCTCTTTTTTCTACCAGTTCCAACCCCAACACACACATACTTCTAGTCAATATCTGTTCCTCTGAAAGTACCCCACCCCCCAAAAATAAGAACCAGAAAGAGGAAACTCAAGAAATTTTCCAGTTTTGCTCTGCACTCCACGTTCTTATTTACACCAATTTAACATAGCCTCAGATCTCCACCATCGGAGAAATCGTGTGATTTAATATTCCTGAACAGGGCATCCAACTTTACCATTATCCTTTAATGACTTGGCAGAACCTTAGCAGATCCTAACAGAGGAAGAGCTGCAGGCCCCAGTGGGGAGCTTCCAGTTTTGTTTTTGTTTTTCTTTCTGCTTTTTCAAGTTGTAAAAGTTTCTAATCTTCTAAAGATTGCCGAAGATTTTTATCTTATGGTGATGTCAGAGGTCCTCGGTTAAGTACAGTTCTTCTTCTAACATAGATCTCACATGGTAATCTATTGCTAAGAAATTATTTGATAGGTTTTGAAATGTTCCTCTCTTATTCCAAAACTTATTTTTAAGTTTCCATTTACATTTTCTAAAACTATTGACAGAGTTCGATCATAAAAAGTGTAGCAGTCATGACCAGTAGAAGGAAGCAGGAACTTAAATCAATGAGATAATGCTCTTCCTCTTACAGTGTGTGTCGCAGTGCACTTTTATTTTCTGAAAAGTTTTCGGTAGTTAAGCATTTTGGTTATCATAGCAACGTAATGGGGAAGTTTGTATATCTAAGAGAACATTCTGTTTCATAAAGTTAAAACTGCATTGTAAGAAGCATTCCCACAAACTCAGGGTTCGGAACCAGCCGGGGTTCTTTAATCTCGTATTTCAGTGATATTTTTGATAAGAAGTTTATGCATGGAATACAGCCAGCGAGTAATTGTGTGTCAAAGGTAACTGTGGACCTTGCAGTCGTATCCTGAGCAAGGGTTCCCAAGGCCAGCGTAGCTCTGTGTGCATTCTTTCTCCTCTGTGTCACAGTGACTTGAAAGAAGTGTCCCTTCTTATTTCCTCCATAATATAATGAGGAAAAAGTGTTAGCCCTTGGGAGATTCAAATAGGTGCACCTCTTTGCTTTGTGTTTTTCTTGTTTTGCTTGTGATTCCTCCTGAACCAGAGGATAGCAGCAGTTTATTTAGTTTGTATATCCATATAAGGCTTCCTCTTCCTTGAGACGCCACTTGTGTATCTTTTCCTGTAGAATGGCTATGGTTTTCCATGCAAGGGGCTATGGCTTTTGCTTTCAATTTCCGTATTTAAATCACTGCTTCAAGTTCATCTGTCATGCAAATGTGAATGCTAAGAAGTTGTCCTCTTTTTTCCTTTTTAATCTCAGAAGAGGTTTATTTCCTTAGTTAGAAATATCAACCTCAGTACCACCTCCATCACATGGGCAGTATCACCATTGGATTACTAAATCCTACTGTTGGGCCTCATCGAAAGACAGTAATCATACTGAGAAGCTTTTTGTATGCTGTGACATTGAAATAAAAGCTGAAATAAAATGGTCTAATATTTTATCTGAAGGCAAATATAGTCATTAATAGAACAACATTTTAAGTATATTTTATAGGTGAATGTAATGAATTCAAATTCAATAAAATTTTTGGTAGTGGTGTTTGTACAACATCGTATTATGAACAAGGATCTAAGTGTCATAAAACTGAATTAAAGTTGTGAATTTCCCCTCTTGTGTAATTATTAGTTCCAGCCAGTAAATCTCCTCTCCACTAGTCCAGCTGTCCCCAGGCGTCAGTGATAATTAATTTGGGCTCCAGGCTGATTCCTCCTTGACTGTTTCCTAAATAAGTTCCCTTGCCATGAGGATGTGATCTGTGATCCTTTTTTTCATTCTGTGTAAATTGGGCCATTCCATTTTTTGTGTCATTAAATCAGCAACTTGGAAGTCAAGAAATTCTGAGCTACAAAAGGCAAATGGATCGTGTCTCAGTGTTCACCAGAACAGAAGCAGACACAGACTATATGACCTTCTATTTCTTTCCGTCATCCTATTTTAAGAGCCCTGGAATTTTTTTATTGCTCAATTATACTCTTAATTTTTTTTTCTTTTTAAAAATACTATGTGCCATTGTAGAACTATCAAACAGAATTACAGATTTTATGAAATAAAGAGTTAAAATTTCTGAAAGCTTGCTTTCATAAAACAAACCCCAGTGTTCAAAATTTCTGACCTATTTCGTGTCTAGTTTTCTAGTAAATGAGTTTTTCTACATTTAATATTGGGCTGGAAATATTAATCTCAGCTAACATCTGAGCTACTTGGTCAAAATAGCCTAAGTTTACTTCTGCCGATCCTTCAGCATTTTCTTGTTAAGACCTGCCTAGCTCTCTCTCATAGTCCTCTCCTGCTTTGTTTACTGCTCACTCAGATGTCTGGAATCAACATGACAAACTTCAGATGTCTGTTGTATCAAATTTAAGTAACAGGAAATCGGGGTTAGAACTATTATTTTCTTAGGGACCATTTACATAGGCATAATTACTGAATTTTTTAGAACACCTGATTAAAATAAGTTATTGATACCATGTAGTAATGATCATTGGAGAGTCCTGGTCTGTCTTTCACTGAAAGACCAGCATTAATACTGACTCCTAGAAAGTAGTAGAATATAGATCTTAAGAGTTCAGGCTTGACTCCTATAATTTATATGGAACCATAAAAGACCCCAAATAACCAAAGCAATCCTGAGAAAGAAGAACCAAGTGGAAGGCATCACACTTCCTGATTTCAAGCTATATTATAAAGCTATAGTAATCAAAACAGTATGGTGCTGGCATAAAAACATACTCATAAATCAATGAAACAGAGCAAGAACACAAATAAACCCAAGCATGTATGGTCAACTCATATT